AGCCATGTCCCCCCATAGCTCTTTGTTGTCTTCACACTTTCTGAAACCAATAGTCCGTTAGAACCCTATCGGAATAACGTATCCAATTCATTATCCCATTAGAGTTTCTGACTACGTTTCAGGGGGCTAAGTGTAATTATCGATACCACAGGGACCTTACAGTTATTTAAGCATACCTCAGGGGGGTGTGTGTAATTTACCCTAGAAGTTTTATTCATTTGTAAAGGTACATTCTCATTATTGACAATTCACCTCAAGTTTTATTCTCTCTACTCTCTCTACGATCCATACATCTGACTTGAGCGTCGGAGGGGTTTCCGCCGGATCAACCCCCGGCTTAGTTCACGTGTACTTGTTTTGTAGGGACCTCAGGAACATCGAGTTGACTAGTTACTGATCAGCTTTGCTCTCCCAGCTCGTTTTCTACACTATCCTAGGTGAGCTAAACTTTAGCATCATCAAAAACATTTTCCAACCATAACTTCGCCTTCAACTTGTTTTTTGGAGGATAAAATTTATATATAGTCTCCATGTTGTGAATGTATAGACTTCTCTATTCTTTGTTTTTTCTTTCTTTTCCGATGTCCTGACTCGAATTTTCTAATCCCCATGATATATATCGAGAAATAATCAATTTATAGAACTACGCAATATGCAACAAAAATGTGGGCTATTTTACAACGTTTTGAATTGAAGTTTCAGTGGATGTTTGGTTCGTTGGCCATAGTTCAGAGGTGTAAACTGTATCTTACCCTTATCAAAATACTGAAATATACGTAATAATAAAAGAAAGACATGTATCAATGTAATAAGAAATTTAGTTCCATACTCTAAACATAGATAGTTGATCTAACAATGACGACATCTCGTGGCACGTCTCTTCTCTGATGGTCTTACACCCCGACCTTCTCTCCTAGAGGCGATGCCGAGGAACATCTGACATCTACAATATACAAATAATTTTATATAAAATAATTATGAAAGCTGATTTTCACCGTTTGAATGCTGATCATGTTGGGCGGGCATTAGGTTCGATGTCGCCTAATTAAGATGGGCGATGGTCTTCACCCGGTCTGGATTAGTAAGGCATACTTTCATCCATGTTTGGCGATCAAGCACACGTGTCAACTTGAATGTTTGTCCCAACCTCTCATCTAATTTATTGGACGATAAAATCGGAAACAATGATTTTTAGCATTTTCGGACCATCCTAAAAATTCAACTAGGGCATCTCCAACCGTTCACGTTTTGGAATGGTATCAGCTAAAAACACAACCATGTAGCATTTATGAACAAAAAAACATGATTAACGGAGCAGGTAAATTATTGCTCGGCACCTATAATCAATCCTTCAACAGCTATATATACCAGACCCTGTGCATGAAAGCTAAATGAAGAAAATATTAAAATAATACATAAAGGACGCGTTTGGTTGCCAAGTTTAGCCACGATTAACTAAATAGTTGGACTTGTTTTGATGTTTGGTATCCCAATAAATTGCCGAGGGTCGATCCGCCAAAATTATATAATCATGGTTTATCTTGCCTTATCATGGCTTATCTTGCCTCTCAGTGAGTTTTTATTGTTGGACGTCGCGAGCTCCAATAAAATAATTGGGTTTCATTAGATTATTTAATCTTATCTTAGCTAATCTTATCTTGCCAACCAAATGAGGCCAAAAAGTAATATATCAAATTGCCAAAATCCACTTCTGAGCTTTTGTATATTTGTTTTTTTTCTTCTTCTAGAGATTTCTTTCCACTAATTAATTTGATTATTTAGGAAATATTATTCTATTTTTTTTTTATTTAGAAAACCTCATATACCGTAAATCTAATTTTGGCATAGTAGGTTTTTATTTTTTTATTTTTTTTTGCGAATGGCAAAAAAGCCCACCATATGGGACTTAAATGCATTTTGGTTTACAAAAAAAAAATCTTATTTATATATATAATTATTTTGTCGTGTTAAATTTATTTGCACTTTATGCTAATTTTATTGTCGACTGCACATAATTTTTTTTAAATCAAGGTAATTTAATATAAATTGTATTTATTTCTAACACTTTTAGGGATTTGTGTTTCAGTTATGTGTATCACTTATTGAATTTGAAATGAAAAAATTGCATGTTACTCGCAAGGTATTAGATGAGTTATAGGCGATGCCAATGCGTGTGTTGTAAAACACTATTTTAACAATTAAGTTTCATGTTAAGGATCTGAGTGTATTGGACGAGATAGTTGTACCATTTATGTCAGATAATGCATCTTACTTTTTATATCACATTTTTTCGTATTTTATATTTTCTTTTATCATTTTATTTTGTTGATGTCGGTACTTAAATCAAATGGAATTGATCTTGTTTTAAAAAAATAGATTATATCGTATTATATATCAACTATTCAAAGTTTTCATTCGCTTATTTTATGTAAAACATATTTTGATTTTTTATATTACCCCGTGCATCGCATTAAAATCCTCTTTTCATTCACAAAGGTCTTTGATTTACATCATCAACGTGTTTTAGTCATTAAAAAAATTTGAACTTAGAATTGATCCCCGTACATCGCACAAGTAAATTACTAGTAAAGATGGAAAATATGATTTGGTGTAATTAAGGCCAGTATATTTTTATTAATTAGTATATAAAATGATTATTTTAACAAATTGCACATGATTACCGACTTATTAGTTCTAATTAATTAATAATACTAAAATATAATAAGCAACAATAGAACTTTAACTGATAAAATAAAAGACGAGAACCTCTTAAATTGAAGTACATAGCTCCTAAAACAACAATCAGCATAACATAATAAATTACATATCTTATTGTATATTCAATATACTTTGGATTGTTATACTAATCGATGATTTCATCCGAACTTTTATCACATAAATATATGTATATGAATTTTGACATGATTACTATTTAGGGTAAAATTCACTTTAATAAAACACTCCCAAGCGATTAACTTTTTTTTTAAGCGATTAACTTTTGTTTTTTACCGACTGCCTTAGTTAAACCCTTTGACCGGCTGATGCAAAAAAAATGTTGGCTTTTGTTTATGAATGTTAAAGCCCACAAAATAGAAAACGGAAAATCCCCGAAATCTAAAAGAAATCCTCAAATTGGATGAAACCCGGAATTTGAAAGAATTGCAAATTAAACCCAAAGCTTTTCATATTATAATTGCAAACCCCCCAAAAAAGAAAACTGAAAATACCTAAAATCAAACACTAAAATCGACAAAAAAACCATAATTTGAACAAACGTTAAAAATCGTCAACAATCCACAAAAAGTATACCTCATTTTTACTTAAAATCGTATCCATAACCTTCTTAGTTCATTGGGTTAAAGAACCCCAAAAAACATTTCAGAGTACCCAAAAATTCATCTCGTAATCGAGGGAAAAAAATCTTAAGATCAAAATCCATACCGTCAGACCAAAAGTTCATCCTTCTAATATGCTCATACAAGATTTCTTCAAAAGATTTTCCGAATACGTTGAGAATGATAGAGATTTTGTAGGTTTTGTTGCTTTGAAAAATAAAACATTGATAAAATAATTCAAGAGAAAGTGTGTCTTTTAGATATTTATAATAACCTAGAAAAATAGAGGATTCTATTAAATATAAAACAGGGTAAAAGAGTCATCGCACAGTTCAATTTAACATCGTTAAAAGTTTAATCAGTAACTGTAAAAAATTAGGGGGCGTTTGATGTTTTTTTATAAATAACACGAGTGAATAACACCTTTCACATAGTATAAGGCCACACTACAACCTTATTTCCCGTGCGGCTACTAATTTAGCTAACGACAATAATTTGGCTGTTTCCTCCTAACGATGGCTAATCAAATTATGAATGAGGGAGTTTTAGTTCATATGTATATAGAAACATGGTTCTCGTACTAAAGCTGATGGCGGAAACACGATTCTGAAATATTCCATCGGAAAAAGAAGAGAAAATCGACAGATTAGAATCTGAGAAATGAAGAAAATTAGTACGGAGAAGACGACTCCCCAGCAACCCAAAACGGTATTTCTCTTCGTTTCATACACAATAATCCTGCATCTGTTTCCGTTTATGTGTGTTTGTGCGAGTTTTTTTTTTTTTTTTATCAAAATAGTACTAATCTCTTGTCGCAGGCCTAAGTAATTCTCTTGTATTTTGGACTGAAATTTTGAGTTCAATGAAAATCGTGTGGCATTTTTATTTGCTTTGCATTGTGAACACTGCTCACTACCTGTTTGATGAAATGTCTCTGCTCTTGACACCAAGAATTGAAAATCTGAGTTGATAAACAATGTTGCATACTGCTGGTACTCTGTTTCTTATAACAGCAACCACAAATTGTGCAGCATTTTTCCTTGTTTTGCATTGTTCTTAGTGCCCACTACCTGTTTGAAGAAACGCCTCTGTTCTTGATTACTCCAAGAATTGAAAATCTGAGTTGATAAACAGTTTTTGCATGACGTTGTACTCTGTTACTTGTGACAGCAACCAGAAATTGGTGGTAAGAAATGGGTTGAGATATGGAGTGCGCAGTGTGGCGAATGCTTCAAGTGGAGGATAATTCCAAGTGAAGAAGAGTACGAAGAAATCAGAAGCAAATTCATAGAGGACCCTTTCGTGTGCAGCAAAAAGCCGGGATTTTCTTGCAATGATAAAGCTGATATAGAGTACGATAAGTCGAGGACATGGGTTATAGACAAGCCCAACACACCCAAAACTCCGACAGGTTTCAAAAGGAGAATGACATTGAGGAGGAACGGGTCCAAAATCGACTGCCATTACAAAACCCCCAATGGGACAAAACAATTGAGGACACCTACCGATGTTTCCAACTTTCTAACTTCGTATCCAGAGTATAACAATGGCTATATCTCTGTCCAGCATTTCAGTTTCATTACGCCAAAGATCATGCAAGACACTCTTCCACCCACTTCAGCTGGTGCTGCCAAGGACTGATTTTATTTGAGGAAATCGTCGTTTTTTTTTTCGGCTGCTGGAGTTTTACTATTTTCGAATTTTTGGGCACCGTATATATGCTCAACTTCACATATTTTTTACTTGTTCACAAGTGTTGGGTTTTTGAAGAGGTGTGCAACCACCCACCGGGGTTTTTCGATTTAAATTTATGTTTCTGTTATTTCAATTGGAATCCGGAAAAAGTAGGAAGTGACGTCATTTGAACGAGACCCAAATCAAGAACAAGTACACTAGTTTTTGGTTACTTTCTTCCTTTGTAATGAATGTTACATAAGTGGTAAAACCGTAGAAGTCTGGATTCCTTCGTCCTCCTGTTAATACATGTACAAAGCATACATACATGGGGCAGAAAAAATGACACTCTCTCTCTCTCTCTCTCTCTCTCTCTCTCTCTCTCTCTCTCTCTCTCTCTCTCTCTCTCTCTCTCTCTCTCTCTCTCTCTCTCTCTCTCTCTCTCTCTCTCTCTCTCTCTCTCTCTCTTTTACGAATTTTAAAGACGGCTCAGAAGATAATGAATTTCCTAGGGGTTTGTACCGATAAATCCCCAAGTGCAAACATAAAACACGAGTCAATCCCCAGCCACGTTTCACAAGCGGGTCAGTCCCTACAACTAACATAAACATGCAGTTCAGTCTCTAGCCCTACTTTATTTCACTTCATACACTCTCTCTCTTCTCCTCTCCTCTCCTCTCTCTTCTTTCTTCCATTTCTTCTCTTCTCTTTCTCTCTCATCTCTCATCTCTCTTTCCTCATATTCTCTGTTACTACTTCCTCTTTCTCGACCGCGAAAAAAATTTGAAATTTTCCACAATGGTAGCAAATGCTGAATGAAACCCCCTCTGCACTAGTATTCTAGGAAGTTGTCGGTATCAAGATAATATGCACGTCATTTCCGTTATGAATGATTCGACTTTAAGGGAGGCTATGAGTCTGTCATAAGGAAGTGGGACCATATTCATCCCGACACATTGGTGCTCCAATACTTAGCTCCTCGTGAAAGAATGTTTGTCATTCTGAGTTGTGACGAAAACATGGTGAATATAGTTACATTGCATTTGATAATGCACATGAATGTGGTCGACATTGTGGTGAGCCACAGAGATGAACCAAATGGGCGTGGAAAGAGCGTTCGAGCTGAAAATTGGTATGCCCCCATTCTGTTTTGTATGCATTTTTGATTTGTTTATGTCATCATAACATAGAATATAATACTTAATAGTATCGTGTTAATATACTGATAGTGTGGAATAAATACGCTCGTATTATCGTATAAGGATATTGATAGTATGGAATGATTGTACGTCTAGTATCTTAGAAATGGAGTTCTCGTATGCAAGCATTCCACTCAAATTACTTATTTTGGTTGTTATAATTTATTTGTAGTACACTATAATAATCCAATTTGTTTAATTTTTTTTTTTTTTTTTTTTTTTTGCATTTTCAAGTGAGGTTGTCAATTCCGACAAATGTTGCAAATTGAATTCAATCCTCTTGGAAATTCAATTGATGCATTGAGACATTGCATACGTGGGGATACTCAAATTTTCAGAGATCCTAATCATTTAAGGTTTATGCTAAACAAAACCATTGCTAATAATCAAGGTTGTAAAAAGCGGTAATCGGGTCCGAGTCGGTCAGGCACTGACTCACGATTAATTGGTGCGACGGTGATTAATCGGTAATAAATCGGAAATAAATCAGTTTTTAAAATTTAATATAATATATTTCTAAATATTATTTATAAATACTCCAAACATATATAAAAAGATATTTAAACATAGTTATATCTCCATCATGTATATATCCTAATAACATAATAAAAGTTTAATAATTATAAGATCATAATACATAAATATCCTTATAAAATATAAATAAAAAAACTATTTTTTTGAATTTACATTTATTCTTGAACATTCCTGGAATACATCATTAGTTCTTTAACAATAACAATTAACATAAACAAAATAAGACATAAACTCATATTTTCTTTTATTAAAATCCAACTTTTATTTTGAATTATAAAAAGAAAAAAAAAACGATTTTAACCGATTTTTGCCACCGATTTTGACTCGCCTTAAAGGTTTGACCGCCTCGGACCGCCTCAGACCGCCTAAAACCACCTCACAGGCAAAAAACCGATTTTTCAAACCTTTACACTAAAATCGTAAAGGTTTTGGACCGCCTCCGCCTCGGACCGATTAATCGGCCGCATCGGCCGATTTTTAGAACACTGCTAATAATCGAACATTTAAGTAAAAGAAAAATAATCAAAGATCATAGCGGTATGCATTGTTGAAAATTGTAAATGGAGGGTTTATGCATCAGTTTATAAATCACACCAGTTATTCGGCATTCGCAAATGTATTCTTGAACACAGTTGTGGTGATGCTACTCTTCGTACAAGGGGTCATTCTCATTGTTGCAGAAAAACAATAATCATGGTTTTGGAGACAAGTTTGAATCCCGCGAGGCTATTTTACTCTTGCCCATACTATGGCTATTCTCATTAGTGTGAGCCATTTGAAATTGGGCAAACTTTCTCCCACAACTACTCTCAATATGAAGAATGTGAAGCTACGAGTGGATCGATGAACCAAGTTCATCAAGAAAGTAAAGTAAAGAATTCCAAATATGAAGTTGATTAATCCAAAGTTTGATAGTGTTAAACCTAGTAATATTTGCAGTTTACACAATTTGTCAAACCTATGTAATGTTTCTTAATTAATCACCATAATAGTACGAGTCATAAGTTAGTGTCGTGTATTGTAGCACGTTAAATCATATCGTAATGTTGATGTGTAATTACTTAGGGTACATCTAAATAAAATAACTCTTTTGATGAAACAGTGATTGTTGTTCGTAAGAAACATACTCATACAATATAGTTATCATTTTGGGGCCAGCAATTCGATCGATTCAAGTCATTAATTGTATGGTATTCATTGTTTTACGGCGCGGTATTTCACGTGCACAATATACACATAGATTGTACAATATCTAGGTATTATGGTTCCGACAATACATTGCTTATGTACTTTACTAATGGTACCCTTGATATAAATACAATTATGGAAAACCATCTCATCACTCATTTATTTATTTTACGACTTATTTACAAGAATTAAGACAAAGTTGGGAGTTGATAGGGGTTGAATATGGTCACATGTGATGAAAAATATCACTTCTATATATGAGCCTTGTACATTAGTAGTGTATCTTGTAAAGAATTCGACAACATTTGTTCCATTTTGGACCCCAAAGGCAAAAAACTAACGTGCAAAAAACTTACAACATTCATTTAAAACGTATTATATGTCCTTCCCATACTTATGTATCACAAATGTGTAAAAACAATTTGAGCAATTCAAGTCATCAACATTATGGTATTCGTCATTGTTGGTATAGACCGGGTAGGTTGTACACATCAACATGAAACTATCATAGTATGACGGTAACTTATACATAGTGTTTATGTATTGTACTAATGGTACCCTTGTTATAATATCCTTTGGGGTTCAATACGATCATAGAAAACCATCTCATCACTCATTTACGTGAATTGAGGCAACTTGGGAGTTGAGATGAAAACCCAATGTGCAAAAAACTTAAAAACACCAAAAAAAAGGGGTACATGTTTAATATCATGATCGCACGAAAAACCTAAACTAATAGTACTTGTTCATGCAAAAGACAGTGAAAAGCAGATTGTTCATAATACCGAAACCCAAAAACACCCAGAAAAACAGATTGTTCATGACAAAAGCAGACAAAAATCAATTTTGTTCAAAATCCTTCAAAATATGCTCAAAGCATCAGCATAATGCAGAATTCCCCAGGGTCAAATACGACAGGTATAGTTTTACCTCCAGACGAGAATGTACGTTCCTCCACGTAGTACGTCTTCTGCAATAAAACTAACATCTTTAAGAAATTATGGTACATCTTAGGCATGTTTAAGAAGTGCCCGAAAGAATCTTTCTCCAAGGCAGCAAAATGTGTGGCCGTCATCGTTGGTTTAATTATGTCAATTTCTTCTTTGAAGGCACTAGGAGAGCATCTACAAGCTTATAGCGCGTCATTCTCTGCAAATGTATTACGATTATAAAGAAAAAACAATAATCAGCAAAAATATAATTGTAAAATAATAATGGTACAATGTAGTTTTTTTTTTGAACAGAGGTACAATGTAGTTATTGTAATTGTACTTTCACTTTCATGTATCAATATATATTATTTACTTACATCTGAAGAAATTTCATTACCTTGTTTTGATACTTCTAATAACTATAGCACTACCATTGTGTAATAATACTTATATTATTTATACACATTTAATGTCCAAAATCAAACTCTTGTTTGGACCAAAAATGATGTGGGGAATACTAATGTGCCAGACGAATGATACCCAATAATGAAAGTGATCAGAATCTTACAATTCGACAACAAATAAACAATTTTTGCAAACATAAACAAGAAAACAACATATATTGTAACCAGTTGTTCGATTTTTTTATTTGAGAAAATCCCAATCTCGTCGAATACTACCCACTACTGGAAATGTTCAAAATCATTCAATATGAGAACATGCAGTTTGTTTTTGCAAACCTAATAAAAAAACACCAACAAATTTCAGAATCGATTTCTTCAAAAAAAAAAAAAAAAAAAAAACCTTGTTTCTCCTTCCCCTTCTTTGTCCGCACCATTCTTCTACTTCAAAAATTATTACTTTACTTGCCTTTATTCCCTTAATGCTTTCCGCCTTGTTGTGCTTATTTATACAAGCAAAAAAAATCTGATAAATCTGAAGAATCGCTTAGGAAGAACTGCTTAGAAATTGCTTAGAAAATAGTTCGAAAATAGAATGGCAACGAATAGTTAAAAAGGCGTGAAGCGTGTCTCCCAACCGGCGCGTGAAAAGTGTGTGGAAAGGTGTGTCAGAATTTGCAGGTAATTTCAAAATAAAGTGAAGGCTTTTTCGGACATTACACACCAGCTAGGGAGTTAAGTGCATATTTATATTGCTTTAGGGACTAACCCGCTCGTAAATCGTTATTGGGGAGTGACTCGCATTTTATGTTTGGGCTTGGGGATTTATCAGAACAATACCCCAAAAGAAAATAGGAAATATAGTTACATGAGGTGGCTGCCAAGGTGTAAAAAAAATGTTGACTAAACATTCAACGTGGATGCCAAATGTAAACACTCTCATACCACTACATGGGAAACATGCTTCTCGTACTAAAGCAGACGGCAGAAACCCAATTCGGAAATTATTGAATTGTGGGAAAGAAGAGAAAATCAACAGATTAGAATCTGAGGAATGAAGAAAATTATTACGGAGAAGACGACTCCCCAACAACCCAAAATGGTATTTCTCTTCGTTTATATACACTAAAATCCTGCATCTGTTTCGGTATCTGTATTTTATTTACTCTTCAAATTTCATGTACGTGTGTGTGTGTGTGTGTGTGTGTGTGTTTGTGCGAGTTCTTTCTTGTTTTTTTTTTTATTTTGATGAAAATAGTTCGAGTGATTAATCATTTCTGTCACAGGCCTAAATGCCACTCTCTTGTATTTTAGACTGAAATTTTGAGTGTAATAAAATGTTGGGGCGTTTTTCATTTGATTTGCATTGTGCTCACTGCCCACCATCTGTTTGATGAAACGTCTCTGTTCTTGATTACTCCAAGAATTGGAAATCTGAGTTGATAAACAATGTTGAATACTGTTGTGCTCTGTTTCTTGTAACAGCAGCCAGAAATTGGTGGCAAGAAATGTGTTGAGATATGGAGTGCGCAGTGTGGGGAATGCTTCAAGTGGAGGATTATTCCAAGTGAAGACGAGTACGAAGAAATCCGAAGCAAATTCATAGAGGACCCTTTCGTGTGCAGCAAAAAGGCAGGAGTTTGTTGCAATGATGGGGCGGATATAGAGTACGATAAGTCGAGGACATGGGTGATAGACAAGCCCAACACACCCAAAACTCCGGCAGGTTTCAAGAGGAGAATGGTAATGAGGGGCTGTGAATCGAGAATCGACTGCTATTACAAAACCCCGAACGGGAAAAAACAACTGAGGTCGCCTACCGATGTTTCCAACTTTCTAACTTCGTATCCAGAGTACAACATCAATGGCCACATCTCTCTCCAACATTTCAGTTTCAATGCGCCGAAGATCATGCAAGACACTCTTCCACCCACTTCTGCTGCTGCTGCACCCAAGGACTGATTTTAGGAACGTGATTTGAACGAGACTCGACTACAACGATGAAGAACAAGTAGGATTATTGTTTTTGGATTCTTTCTTCTTTCGTAACGACTGTTCAAAAGGCGTGGTAATCATTCATTTAGTAGTATGCAACACATTAGAAAAACATAAATAGAGGAAGTAGGCAATGACATGATAGGATTTTGTGCTTCTTAGCAAGTATATTTTTAGGTATTTATTTTGAATTTTGAAATGTTTCCTTACACTCTGTTACCTTTGATTTCTCTATTTATTTCCCTTCCTCTTCAATCCTATGAATAAAGTCGAATATTCTCACATTGTATGTTTAATTTTATTTGAAGAAAGATCGATAACGAAAATTTAACGAGATAATAAAAGAAAACTAATAATAAAAGAAAACTAATAATAAAAAGAAACTGGATTTCTTCTTCATTCTCATATTAGTACATATACAATCATACAAGGGAAAGAATGATATGTGGCTTTTTCTTCTAAACAGTTGTATTATATATATATACACAAAACCCCCTTTACTCAAAGCTGTAGTTAAAGAATAGGAGAGAAGCATATAAATAAACACCTGTATTTGAACTCACTTCCCAACCTAGATATATTTATAAATAAAATAAAATAAAATAAAAACAAGTTGAGAAGGAGAAGTGGAAATTCTGAACTCTTGGTTAGCTAGCATCTTGTAATGAGAGTTAGTCGATCCTCCAATGAAAATATGCGGAAACTAGTCAGGCTTGGTGTATTCGAGCAACATATGTGGCGATCTGTAAATCTTGACAAGGGTCCAATATAGGACTTCTTCCACTCCAAGTTCACCTTCTGCTCGTGCAGCGTATATATCCTCACATATGGCAATCAACCTGGAGTTATTAAAATTAACCCCCCAAAAAAAACATTTTAAGATTATTTCTTTGCTAAATAAACCGAATATACAAGTGCGAACATAATTACGCATCTTATGTATTTATTATTATTATTATTATTATTATTTACCTGTCACATGAAGGAAGATTTTCGTAGGGTATTCTCATCCGTAAGTCGGCACACTGCATTCTGATAAACCGACCAACTGCAAGGACAAATGTGATGTACAGACCCCAAATGCTGAACTTGCTCAGGGTCTCACCAAGAAATCCCTCTGTAATGAATAAAATATATTGCAATAATTAGGAACATATATTTACATTTTAATACAATTACAATGTTGTTCAAGTTCATACATATCAGATACTTACGTGGGGTTTCCTCGGACACAATGACAGCCATTGGCCCTGACAATCCTCCACAGCCGTATGCATCCGAAGCATTGATATCATGAAAGGACCACCATTCGGAATTCCCATGATGCAAGACGACATCAGCGCTGACATCATTCACCTGTCAATTATCCACAAGCGACCACCCGAGTTATATTAAATTAGCTAAAACAGTCATCCTTACTCTTGAAGTAAAAAAAAAAACAGTCTACGCGCCCAATCTAAATTAATTTCGCTGGAACTCTGAAGTTAGAACTTTTACTACGAAAAGATGAGGATCTTCCATCATTTCTTTTATATAATTCAAAAAGATCACCAATTTATGGAGTTTATTGCAGTTGGTACCCTATGTTATATCGAATTGCTAAAAAGATACCCCATGTTATTTTATTGGCAAAAAAACCATTATGATTTAATTTCTTTTCTAGCAGTTAGCACCCCTGTCTAAGGGGTGTGCTAAAGAAAATTGAATCACAGGGGGGATTTTGCCAATAAAATAACATGGGGTAGTCTTTTTACCACTTCGATATAACACAGGGGTACTAATTGCAATAAACCCCCAATTTATGAAAGAATAATGCAAACCCTTTAAATCATTTAAACTTTTTGCTTCATCCAATAAATTGCTAATATGCATATGACGATATAAAAGAGGTTCAAAACTCAAAGGCATACCTCCTGCTCAAAAGGTCTAATTTCACCAGAACCAGTAACGCGGAAAAATCTTGGATAAATATTAAAAATCCTAAAGCTGCTGAAGGAACCGTTGAGAACCCCCTCAACTTCCGACGCTTTCGGAAGATTTGATGAGTCAACAGGTCTTTCATATTTCACAGTTTCTTTGCCTTTTGGTCTGTCTCTTGTAAGTACCCAAGAAAAGATTATATCCATGTTATCATCGTTAAGAGAACGTATAAACTGCTTCTGAACCACATCGGGAACAAGCCAAAGAGTACTTGCATCAGGTTGGCAACAAATGAGCTGAATGTCGTTGACATTATACGAATCTAAATAATGGTGGGGGTCAAGATCGGCATTTGCATTGACATGATCGTATGCAAGTTTTTCACAGAGAGTTGTTTGGTACAAGGTTAATCTGCCACCAGTTGTCTTGATGTCGAATTGAAAGCTGGCATCGTTGATTGGATTTGCTATGTTTGTTGGATTACCGCTACTGTACATCTGGTACGAGAAAAGTAAGCTTTTTATTACCCTCAAAATTCATAAATTTTCAAGATATTTGTAACAGGAAATAAAGTTTTGTAGTGAACTAAGCCCACAAATTTGCACTCAGTAATTAGCACAACAGCCATCTGTGCACAACTTATAAGCACCTAAATGTTAAAAAAAAAAAAACAAATCAACATAAGGTACAATCAGTGAACTCCTTTTTTACCAACCTTTCTGACTTTTCACATTATTCCTGAATTAAGTAAGTTGCTGTTGTGAAACTTGAGGAGAACTTTGCAAAGGAAAGGGACAATTGTCCAAAAAGGCAGGAAATTAACACTTACGCAACAAGATAGCAAAAGCATTCTGGAACGCCTTTTGTAATGTGAGTGTTTTCAAAGGTGAAAAAGGCAAAATAGCAAGAAGAATAAGAAAATCTTCATTTTGATAGTCAACCATTCATTTTTGACAGAGTAATTAGACTCTTTTCGTTTAACTTGCAATCAAGTACAAAAACGTGAAAAAATTTAAAAACTAAGAACTGGTATAATAATAATAAT